CTGGCAGAGGGAACGCTTGTAGAAGTAGGCGCGAGTGTTAGTTGGGTCCCCTGCATGTCCGGCGACTGAGATGCCGACAGAGCAATTCCATTGCTGACGTTGACGTTCGATGTTGGTGTCTCTGTTGCTGTTGAAGAAGTTCCCCCAATGACCCCATATGCCTCCGAACTTGATGCTGCAAGCTGTGGAGTTGCAGTAGTTCCTGATGTTGATAGATCGTCAAGCCAACCTTGTGTTGACGATGCTGTCGTGGTTAAGTTAGAATTTGATGTCTGTTGTGTTCCTGATGTTGTCGGTTGTGTTCCTGATGTTGTAGGGTGTGTTCCTGATGTTGTCGGTTGTGCTCTTGATGTTGTAGGTTGTGCTCCTGATGTTGTCGGCTGTGCTCCTGATGTTGTCGGTTGTGTTCCTGATGTTGTCGTTTGTGCTCCTGATGTTGTCGGCTGTGCTCTTGATATTGTCGTTTGTGCTCCTGTTGTTGTCGGCTGTGCTCCTGATGTTGTCGTTTGTGCTCCTGATGTTGTCGGCTGTGCTCCTGATGTTGTCGTTTGTGCTCCTGATGTTGTCGGTTGTGCTCCTGATGTTGTCTGTTGTGTTCCTGATGTTGTCGGTTGTGCTCCTGATGTTATCGGCTGTGCTCCTGATGTTGTCGGTTGTACTCCTGTTGTCGTTTGTGCTCCTGATGTTGTCGGTTGTGCTCCTGATGTTGTCGGTTGTGTTCCTGATGTTGTGGGCTGTGCTCCTCCTGTTGTCGGTTGTGCTCCTGTTGTCGTTTGTGCTCCTGATGTTGTCTGTTGTGCTCCTGATGTTGTCTGTTGTGGTGCCGTTGTTGTCGGTTGTGCTCCTGATGTTGTCGGTTGTGCTCCTGATGTTGTCGGTTGTGCTCCTGAAGTTGTAGGTTGTGCTCCTGATGTTGTCGGTTGTGCTCCTGATGTCGGCTGTGCTCCCGATGTTGTCGGTTGTGCTCCTGAAGTTGTAGGTTTTGCTCCTGATGTTGTCGGTTTGGTTCCTGTTGATGTCGGTTGTGTTCCTGATGTTGTCGGTTGTGTTCCTGATGATGTCGGCTGTGTTCCTGATGTTGTCGGTTGTGTTCCTGATGTTGTCGGTTGTGTTCCTGATGTTGTCGGTTGTGGTGCCGTTGTTGTCGGTTGTGTTCCTGATGTTGTCGGTTGTGGTGCCGTTGTTGTCGGTTGTGTTCCTGATGTTGTCGTTTGTGCTCCTGATGTTGTCGGCTGTGCTCCTGATATTGTCGTTTGTGCTCCTGTTGTTGTCGGCTGTGCTCCTGATGTTGTCTGTTGTGTTCCTGATGTTGTCGGTTGTGTTCCTGATGTTGTCGTTTGTGGTGCCGTTGTTGTCGGTTGTGTTCCTGATGTTGTCGGTTGTGGTGCCGTTGTTGTCGGTTGTGTTCCTGATGTTGTCGGTTGTGGTGCCGTTGTTGTCGTTTGTGCTCCTGATGTTGTCTGTTGTGCTCCTGATGATGTCGGTTGTGCTCCCGATGTTGTCGGTTGTGTTCCTGATGTTGTCGGCTGTGCTCCTGACGTTGTCGGTTGTGCTCCTGACGTTGTCGGTTGTGCTCCTGATGTTGTCGGCTGTGCTCCCGATGTTGTCGGTTGTGTTCCTGATGATATCGGCTGTGTTCCTATTGTTGTCGGTTGTGGTGCCGTTGTTGTCGGTTGTGTTTCAGTTGTGTCTGTGGGCGTTGTTGTAGTGGTGCCTGTTGTCGTCATACTTGTTATCGGCGTTGTTGTAGAGGCAGCAGTCGTAGGTACTGGTGGCGTTACCCCTAAACATTAAGTAAACCCTTTCAGCAACTCAATACACAAGTCTTTACACGTTATGAATGATGTAAAACGCACGTAAACAATGCAGTATTAAGTAACTTCCTTTATGATATATACTTCTCTTGTATTCATTAATGTTCAGTCAAGTTTGCAGAACACATCGTAGCAATGTATACTACTTAAACAAAGTTAAGGACCACCCGATTATTTCGTATTACTAGAGTTAATCTGTATATCATATTACTATAGATAATCTGTATATCATATAACAGTAGTTAAACTGTATATCATATAACTGTACATAGTTAATCGGTATATCATATAACTGTAGTTAATCTGTATATCATATAACTGTAGTTAATCTGTATATCATATAACTGTAGTTAATCTGTATATCATATAACTATAGTTAATCTGTCATGTAATATAAAGGAAGCGAATGGTCCTTAATTCACTTGTGCAGTGTACATTGCTTCGATGAGTTCTACAAACGAAACTAATTATTAAATAAAGCCTTTAGGCAGCGTGATTAACAGCATGACAGATTAACTGTAGTAATATGAAAGAATAGGATGGTCCTTAACTTTTTAAAAGTAGTATACATATGGCTTAGATTAAAGCTATATAGAGTGTAGATAGTAAACTGATAGGTAAAATATGACTAGATATCGTACATCTACACAGGTAATCTGTAATGTTTGTTTGTTAGTTTCTGGTTTTACGCCGCACCCAACAATATTCCAGCTATATGACGGCGGTCTGTAAATAATCGAGTCTGGACCAGACACTCCAGAGATTGACATCATGAGCATCGATCCACGCAATTGGGATACGATGACATGCATCAACCAAGTCAGCGAGCCTGACCACCCGATCCCGTTAGTGGTCTCTGACGACAAGCATAGTCACCTTTGATACCCCGGACCTTAATCTGTAATGAACAACAGAAAGGCCTCCCTGGAATATTCGATAATAGTGTAACATTTCTTTAACCGGCTCAAACCATCACTCGATGGAGACAATGGTGAATAGTAACCGTCACAAATATTTGCTACAGTGTGGGGAAGAACGCCTCGGAAAGAAACACCTTGTGCCTTTTGTACAGTATTGATGAAGTCCGCGATCGTAACGCAGCTAATGACACACGAATGTCACAGCTCTGACAGTTACAATGATACCATTATGTAATCGATAAAACAAATATCCAACCGACTGATCGATCGCTTACATAATCGCGTAAGTAATCGCGACTAACATGGGAGTAATCTCCGCGGCTGCAAAACAGGGGGAAACACTCGCGCGATCGTCGTGTGTAACAAAGGTATTCTGACATGCAAGTAGTCTTCATCAACCCATGCTTGCCGTAAAAGTCGACTATACTTGTCGTAAGAGGCGACTAACGGGATGGGTGGTCAGGCTCGCTGACTTGGTTGAAGCATGTCATCGTATCCCAATTGCGTGGATCGATGCTCATGATGTGAATCACTGGATTGTCTGGTCCAGACTCGATTATTTACAGACCGCCGTCATGTAGCTGGAATATTGCATAGCGCGGCGTTAAACAACAAACAAACAAAACAAACTGAGGGATCCCTGATTTCATGTGATGCCCGTGTTGGTTGAGTTCGACCCGCGTCAATTGTTCACTTTCCTCCAGGATAAAGCTTGAAGGCCTTGACATGATTGGATTATTACCCGAAACGATATTCGACCCCAGCCACTCACTCACTCCTGATATTAGAATGATGCTTACCGGTACCATTCCTGCAAACATACTGGTGCCACTTGTCACACGTATTGGATTCAAAGTCGTTAAACGCGATGCCTCTGTACATGAGGCAGAGATCAGACAACGTACTGGTCTCACTGGCGAACGAGAACGGGGATCCGTCTAGCCAAGAGAACTCATCGGAAACAGAATCTCGCTTGCCTCCCAGCCAGAACAGGTTGTCGGAAGAGCCCCTGCAAAACAAAAAGTTGACTGAATGGTGTTTTACGCCGAAGCCAGCGATACTCAAGCTACACCACAGTTACATGTAAATAATCTGGTGTTGGCGAGCTCAGTCGGCTCTTATGAAGCACGGGTTGCTGGAGACCTTTTTGTACCAGGGATATCCACAGGACGACGCGCATCAGCACAACACACCACTGCACTTCAATGTTGTGAGGTGTGTGTGTGTGTCTACATAGTCAGTGGGTCAACTCATTGTGCTTTTAGTTTTATATTTTGAAGATATGCTCACAGTAAAAACACCCTGTTCTTAATTGAAAGCGCAGAACACAAGCCTTCAGCTCAACTACCTACCACCCATGTGAGTTCGTCATTTTCTATACATAGTACTGGCTAATGTCATCCAAGTGTATAAACTGGGAAGCTAGTATTTAAGAAGAGTCTTATACCCAAGATCGATATTGAATGTGCCTGGAAAAATTTTAAACTACTTATTATCATTATTGTTTGAGACAAATTACAGCCTTTTCCTGTCATCGTGTTTAAGTTATGCAGAAGTAGGACACACTAACAGCGACGTCAATTCATTTCGCTTCCAAAATAAATAACATCTCGTGTCTAGCATCATCTTCGCGAGGCAAGAGAGTTAACTGACTATAAAAGTCCAGTGTCCACCCTTGCCGAACTAGGCTGGTATTATGGACATAGATTTTGGCTGGACCAACGAGTCTATGCATAGTCCAATCAAAATCGCGCAATGAATCGAAATCCGGTTCGTAAACAGTCACGCAGATTTCGGTCGATTGCAGGATTTGCAAAGCATATGCACCGCCAACTCAGTGTCAACACATATATTTCAAATCTTTTCATGGTTTTAATCAAGTTGCTCACGTGATTTGATACACTTCGCGATCTAAGATCCGTTTCATCACAATATAGATCTTGATTATCGATCAGATCGTCTTGACTGTGCGCCGCCATTTTGTTTGAAGCAAATGCAAGTGATACGAGAGGTGAAATCTGATTGGTCCACAGGAGAGGCACAGAAGGGACAAAACTCGTAATAGCCACTGGTGGCGCTACGATCGAGCCCAGGAATTCCAGCCAAGTTCGGCAAGGGTGGAAACTGGACTTTTAAAGCCAGTTAACGCTATTGTCTCGGGAAGATGGTCTAGCGGATGTCATCACAAACTTCATCTAAAAGAGAATGCCATTGTTCTCATTTTTCTCCATAATCCCCCCCACACGACCTGTCCACAGATCTATTGATGACATCCCACAGAATCTCCCCACACAACCTGCCAACAGATTTTTTAATGACATCCCACAGAATCTCCCTCCACGACCTGCACATAAGATCTATTGATGACATCCCACAGAATCTCTCCACACGACCTGCCAACAGATCTATGGATGGCATCCCACATAATCCCCCCACACGACCTGCGAACAGATCTTTTGATGACATCCCCCAGAATCTCCCCACACGACCTGCCCACAGATCTATTGATGACATCCCCCAGAATCTCCCCACACGACCTGCGAACAGATCTTTTGATGACATCCCCCAGAATCTCCCCACACGACCTGCCCACAGATCTATTGATGACATCCCCCAGAATCTCCCCACACGACCTGTCCACATATCTATTGATGACATCCCCCAGAATCTCCCCACACAACCTGCCAACAGATCTATTGATGACATCCCCCAGAATCTCCCCACACAACCTGCCAACAGATCTTTTAATGACATCCCACAGAATCTCCCTCCACGACCTGCACATAAGATCTATTGATGACATCCCACAGAATCTCTCCACACGACCTGCCAACAGATCTATGGATGGCATCCCCCAGAATCCCCCCACACGACCTGCGAACAGATCTTTTGATGACATCCCCCAGAATCTCCCCACACGACCTGTCCACAGATCTATTGATGACATCCCCCAGAATCTCCCCACACGACCTGCCAACAGATCTATTGATGACATCCCCCAGAATCTCCCCACACGACCTGCCCACAGATCTATTGATGACATCCCCCAGAATCACCCCACACGACCTGCGAACAGATCTTTTGATGACATCCCCCAGAATCTCCCCACACGACCTGCCCACAGATCTATTGATGACATCCCCCAGAATCTCCCCACACGACCTGTCCACAGATCTATTGATGACATCCCCCAGAATCTCCCCACACAACCTGCACATACGCTCTTTCGATGACCTCCCACAGAAACTGACGCTCTTCGTCAGAGGCAACAGATGCAAGGGTTAGTCCACCTTCTGTACACTTCTGTCTGGCCCCCGAGAAGGAGTTGTGGCATGTGTAGATGTGGAAGCAGACCGACTCTCCACACTCCGACCTGGACGGCTCGCAACCGGAACTTAGCTGAACTGGAATGAAAAAACATAAACTGTTGGCCTTGCCACACGAAATATGTTAATACGTTTTTTTAACTGAACCTGCATATATCCATAAGACCGCGATCTTTGTCCACCTGTATTGTATTTTGTTTTGATTCATCAGGTCTGTTTAAACGTATTGGGCAAGTGGCCTTTTTGCGGTATCCTGATCATAACTTTGCGACATGTACGACTCTGTCGGTGTCAATAGTTTTCGAGTTATGGAACGTTAATGTTTCTCGGAAGATGAATTGGTGATTTCTGAGGAAGAAGTACAAGTGAACCCCTACATGTCTGATCCTGTGACTGACAACAGTGACGAAAATAACGAGGACGATCCCCATCTTGGACGCATGGATCACACGTGATTGCTAAACATAGATTCATTTGTTTAGTTTGTTTTCTCTAAATCCCAATTTACCTAATACCCAATCAGCTTGCAGACCAAGCGGGTGTAAGAGGCCCAAGTCAATCCTTGGCTCAAGAGTGTTTTAAGCCAAGGCTCAGAACACACACACCACCCCACAACCTTATGAACAACAAATAGTTTTACATTTTAAAGAAATCTCAATACGGACCGATCTATTTAATAGTGATTCATAGACTCATGCACATGATACAACATCTGATCAAAAAGTTCTAAGCCTACCTAACTTTTAACTATGGGCCAAGACAAAGTGAAGTCAATGTAGTACATTGTTTGAGTAGTTCATTGCAAGTGTATTTGGTCCGCTGAGGCCGTTTGTATATTAGTGACAGCCAGTTGAACGTGAAAGGAGTCCAAATGGACACAGCCATGGAAATGAACGAGTACCCAGCTGTCATCAAGATTTTGTCTTTAGAGAAAGGTACTCACCAAGATATTCATGACCGCATGTCATAAGTATATGGGGATAAATTATTCAAGTGTTAATCATTGGGCAGATAAGGCGGGGAGAACAAGCCTTTATGATGGCCCTATGTCTTGACATCCCCCACCTTCCATCAATGAAGATTCAATCATGGGGATAGAAACAACTTATACTGTCAGATAGATTTATTACCATTGTTGATCTTGAGGAAGACACAGGTCTAAGGCATGGCTCCATTGAAACTATTATTCATGAACAATTACAGATGAATATGATATCTGCTCGTTGGGTGCCAAAGTTTCTAAATTTTGATCTTAAGGAAAAAAGAACTCACATTGCCTGAGAAAAATTAGAGCTAATTGAGGAGGATTTCGTCAAATTCATAAAGAGATCAGTAACGGGTGATGAAACATGGGTCTAGCACTATGATCCCGAGTCAAAACGTCAATCCATGGAATAGCACCATTCAACTTCTCAGGCACCAAAGAAATTAAAATCTTCAAGACCAGTGAAGAAATTTATAGTCACTGGGAGGCAAAGCGTGTCATCCTTGTTGATTACTTAGAAAGTTAAAAGACGATTACAGGTGCCACTATGCTGATTTGCTTCATCGCCTGAGAGATTATATCAAAGGAAAGCGGCGAGGAATGCAGACTGCTGGAGTTGTTCTACTTCATGCCAGTGCCTCTTATCATGCCTCTCGACGAGCAAAGGCTGCCGTGAGACGATGTGGACTCGAAGAGTTTCATCACCCTTCATACTCGCCAGATCTGGCACCAAGTGATTATCAACTGTTTCCTAAACTGAAAGAGCACCGATGTGGAAAAGTGCTATGACGACAACGATGATCCCAAAGCTGCCGTGAATGGGTCTTTCGGGGTGGCTTAAGAAAACTTCTTCCTGAATGGAATTGAAAATCTTCACTATCGATATGAGAAGTGTATTGAAAAGCAGGGAGATTATGTTGAAAACTAAATTTTTTGTTGGTTTTGTTTGTTTGGCTTAGAACTTCCTGACCAGCCTTCGTAAATATCACCTATTACACGCCAGGAATAGTATTATTTTTAATGATCCCATTATCAAGTCTTGTCTTTGAATTAAAATAAACCCAAAGAAGCCTAGACCACAACACCCCTAAGGCCGTGTCTAAATATATTTTAAGAATTTTGTATTGATGGCTTAATAAACTCGTTAAGAATTGTTTGTGTTTCAAATAGCTATTCATAAACGATTCAAAGCATCAGATGGAAATGTGCCCTTTTCGATCAACGTACTCAGCGGACATTTTGCAAGTTCTGTTTATCTAGTTTCCCGATAATGACAATGCCATGACAATAATATTTCTAGTCCACAGAAGAAAATATGTTCAGCTAGTTAATACCTTCTGCATGCATCATTTGTTTGAATGTTTCAACATGTGTACCAATTGTTGCCACTGCTGCATGTGATCATATCGTTCTCATATAATGCCATTACCTCATAACGCATTACATAAAGAAGGTTGCAGGTAGGTTAAACCATTATGATGACGTCACGCTATTGTTGTTGCAACTGATTCTAAGACAGGCTTTCTGAACGTGTAGTTTAACAAGTAAAGTTGACGCAATAACATGTCATTATGATAAATTAATGATAAATTATGGATGAAATCTCCCGAATCTGTTGATGCCGGGAGAAAATCAACTCGCCCCTTCTGCTGCCGGAATCTCCATACTTAACTATATATAAGCCAGTTGAACCCTAGGATGAGTGAGTGAATGAATGAGTTTAACACTTTGGTGAAATCCATCAGCACGGCTATTGTGCTGACAAACCAAGGATCATAAAGGTTCGACTTAATTCGAGACCCACGAGATGCAGATCCTGGCACGGAAAAGGGACGCAACTATACAACGTCGTGCGGCGCTTTAGACATCACTAACGTTGAACAAATAGACTTTTCGTTCAATTGTTCGCCCCTTTACGACTTTTACCTTTCTCAGATCTAAATTTCCCCGGTTTTACCGTTTTGCTTTTATTGAACATACTTCGTATATTGTAATACGACAAGGGGTGTGATTGGGTGAAAATAATACATTTTTGTGCTGAAAATGATCCAAAATTATAAGAAAATGAATGTCACAAATTCGCATTGATATTAGTTAAAAAACGACAAAAAGACCTTTTCATGAGATTGCACCTCCTTCTATTTTGCACTTGATATTGGATAGTCTGGATATTAACTATACGAGTTTCTGGTACATTACCAAAGGATAAACAAAGGCTCACACACTGAATGAAACATTTGCATCGGTCACACTCAATAATCTTTAACAGAAATAGCTACAAGTGGGTTATTTCTGTATCTACCTTTATAACCATGTTTGGCAAGAGTGAAACTATATATGTCGTACTTAGTAAAGCCAGCGCATGCTACTACTCAGATCTGTGATGTCTCAGAGGGTTGTGTCTGCCGTCACTATTATCAACATACACATTATACTTAATATATTCGATCTGGCTCTCGCGGGAGGGCTATTTTGAAAGTCCATACCGTTGATAAAGACTGTTCCGAGCGAGTCTTTAAAGGGTTTTTCTGTATTAAGGGTACTTGAAAACAAGGTGAAGCGTTGATATCATGGTCGAGATGTCAAAGTTGTGTTATCGATGTTTTGTGATATATATACGAGAATGCATAGATGTACATAATTAATGTCTTTGGATAGCTATGCCCCAAGACTCCTCTTCGAAAACCGATTCCTGGATGCTAGCGGCAACACATTGAAATAACACACTTGGCGGAAGCGTTTGACTTTTGCTTGAGGCTAGGCCGTGCCGACACGAGCTCTCAAAAAGTATGCCCTATTAATACATACGCCATAGCGATAGAGGACATTATGCAAATCAAACTAATTTATTCACCCTGTGAACGTTACTTTTTACTTCCCCAATGTATTGATTTTTTGCTACGTGAACCTTAGCAACGTGCAATATAGCCTTGCCATGTAGAATAATGCCATCGACTGTTAAAAACGTTGTCTTCATTAATGATTCATGTTTATCAAATTAAATTACTATTGTTACATACAGAACATGTGGTAACAGGTTGTCACAAATAGAACACGTGGTAACGGATTGTCACTTATGGAACACGTGAAACGGATTGTCATATATAGAACACTTGGTAAAGGATTGTCACACATAGAACAAGTGGTAACGGATTATCACATGGTGTTACCATGGTGACACCTCGGCACCGCCACCACCACGAGGACTCCCTTTTTACTTACTACATTGTGGCTATATACACAGGCGATGTGTTGGTTTGTTTGCTGTTTAACGCCGCACTCAGCGATACTCCAGCTCTATGACGGCGGTCTGTAAATAATCGAATCTGGACCAGACAATCCAGTTGGAATACGATGACATGCATCAACCAAGTTAGCCAGCCTGACCACCCGATCCCGTTAGTTGCCTCTTACGACAAGCATAGTCCCCTTTTACAGCAAGCATGGGTTGCTGAAGACCTATTCCACCCCGGATCTTCACGGGTC